TGAAGAATGTGGTGACAGATTGAGGCCATTATTAAATTTAATAGCAGCTGGTTTGGGGTGGCGCTGTTATTGACAAATTAGCCGTGTCTACTTCAGTGCAGTATAGCTAAACACCACATGGAGGTGTTCAACCACATTATGCACTCTATAAACCAGACTTCCATCAAAATGTTAATTTGGTATTTAAAAAGTACTTGGCAGTAGTACATCCATAAGACTGGCAGGTAGATTTTAGAAGCGGAAACGTAAAGATTTTGAAGTGAGTTAAAATAATTCATCATAGGTTTTATTCCATTTATGATGAAATACATTTCTATTGCATTTATTTGATACATACTGTATATAATAATTACTTAATCCAATTAAAAGTGAAAGTGTACTGAATGCATGTGTCCCTATGGTTTTTCAATGAGTACACTGCACTTCCCAGAATTCCCAACACATCGAGAAAAGAATGAACACAATGATTCAGCACAGAGAATATGTGCTTTTTAACTACACATAACATGTTTTCTTTTGGTGGTTGTTTCTGTACGCTTTAATACATTTAATGACTTCAACCACAGTTTTTACTCTCTGTTGGAATGTTTCTGAACTGTGTATGTCCAAATCTGATGCATGAAACTTCACGTAAACCTGCTTTGACATTCATTCTAAGAGTAAAGTGCATTTTTTCTGTTGTTATTTTGCACAGATTCGGTTTGTAATGAACTGAATAAGCAAGTCGTGATGGACAAAATAAGGAATTTATTAAAAAAAAAACAACCATGGCACAGTGATATCAAGACAATATCCCACAAAGCCATCTACCTCAAACAACACTTCCTAATAAATAAGTCATAGTAAGAAGAATAAGGCTTTGATTCAGAGTTTCCTGGCTCGTGACACATGCCCAGGTTCTTCCCATAAGACATAGTACATGCAGGAAGACATATCTAGACAGTAGATGCTGTTTTGCGGTTCTATCCACGGATGATTGTTATGAACCTATTTGAATGATGGGCAACATTAGCACACATGTAAATAAGATCACCTAATGATTTTTTCCCCCAACTTCTGTTTATGAATACACACAGTTCCACACAGTGCATTTGCCTCCAAAAATAACAACGCTGTAGTAGTTTTAAGTTAAAAAGTTCTGTGCTGCAATACAAGTCACTCTCTCAGCATAGTTCAGTCTTCAAATGCATCTATGACCTGAAGTCAGGACTTGCCTATACTCACACAGCTGAGTCTTTTATACCACAAAACAAACAAAAAATAATTGGATTTAGTATGATTTTCATGATGATGATTATTGCAATGCTAATTTAAAATTTTGAAACTAGACACGATCTGTCGATTTAATATATACATCCTAAGAACTTACACCCAGCGGACAAACTTAGAACGAAGTTGCAAGTTTCAATGAAACCTCTCAGCTGCTTGAGAAGTGTTGATAAAGATGAGTCTGGGTGGTAAATATTAAAACCCTGCCTCGCAGCCAACTCAACCCGTAGCCTGGGAGTCAGTCAGTGAGCGAGACTGCTCAACATTTTGAGGCACAATGAACCTCGGAAAGGTTCCGGCAGAGCAAAAAGATTTTTTAATGTTTTTTTTTTTTTTTAACTTGGGGCATATTTTTTGGTCTGCCCAGGAAATGGAAAGTCTGGGGCCCGGTTGAAGTGTCCTGTTAAGAAGATCCCCACTGTGCCGATGATGAAGAGGAGAATGGCAGCCCAGAAACACACCTTGTCAATCATCTTCCCAATCAGTACCCAGCTTTCAATTTCCTTTGTTTGGGGGGAAAAATTATAAAGATTTAAAATAAATATAGTCTGTGAAACATTAAATAAATATACTAATCCATAGCATAACTGAAATTGTGCTCAAATTGGTAAGATCATACTTACGGATCCAATGTTATTTTGCTGTCTTGTGCTCTCAGCAATAAAGTTGCAGGCATCCACACATTGCTTAATTTCAGGTGCTGCTTGGGCCAAACTCTTGTACAGATTGGCTGTGCTGCTGACATCTATATTGTCCACTAGGGGGAAGGAGACACTGACAGTTACATTACAGTACTGCAGGTACATTGAGGCATATTTGATGGCAATGAGGAAACAAAAAAGGACAATAAATGACATGTGACGTGTGAAAAATAATACATGTATCATGATGTTTATACTGACATAACCAGGCACCCTTTGTGGAAATTTACATTTTGTAGTGTCATAGACATAACTTCTTCTGTCTTTTATTTGAAAAATATAGTCAAAACCCATGTGGACATATATAATCTCATCAGGTAATTACACAGCACCT